AGCACAATGGTTCTAATTCCTCGTGTGTATGCATTTATTTCACATAAAGAGAAATATATTCTCTTAATTCTATATTGTTCTCGTTAATGATTTAATTAACTAAATTAGTAGTCAGTGATAATTTTTTTTTCCATGAATATATAAAATTTTTAATTTGACTCATATAATATATGCTTATAAAAAGATAAAAGATTAACTCTCATTGCACTAAAAAGAAAATAATATTTTACATTATGCAGTTAATTCTTGAATTTTTCTAACTTTTATCTTAAAAATACAAATTAAATTTCATTAAATACAATATTTATAACTAATTTTACACAAATTTTATATTAAATTCAATAAAAATAAAATATAAAATGAAAAATTAACACAAAATAAAATATTTATACTCAAAATTTATAAAATGTATGAATTTGGTAAAAAAGTTTGCATAAAATTAATTATAGATATCACAATTAATTTAAGTTAACTTGTGCTCTTTTAAGGTACAAATTAGACAAACTCTAATTCTTTTAGGATTTCTTTTCTATTACACCTTTTTTTGGGCGGGGGAGGGAATTGGCATTTTCTTATAACATTGTTGTGCATATATACTTCTTATAACATTTATTATAATTAAATTAATTTTTAACTAGTATTTTGTATATGTCTAATGTACAATTTTTTCAAAGTAATTAAACACTAAAAATATATTTAAATTGAGGGAAATATAGAGGAGCAACCTTGGCAACTGATGAAACCGTGCCTAGGAAGGTCCGAGTTAAAACGGAGTAGCTAGGCAATTAGGAAGTTCCTGTTGTGACTCTGTTGCAAGATAAGTTTAAAGGAGCTTGGTTGTTGTTGTTGCAGCAAACCTTCAAAACCTTCTGTGCTACAATCTTCTCACGAGACTAACCTGCAAAGCCCCAAAAGTGATTTTCAAGATAGACACTCTGATACTTAACAATAATGTGGTCTACATTCTCAAGGAAAATATTAAAAGAGTTCTTTCTCTGCTTTTTTCATCATACTTCTTTTGAGTCATGTGTGGACGTATTTGTATGTTTTGAGAAGGTATCCACGTGACTTTCTTAATCATCATAATTGTGATATAATGTGTTTGACAAGACTAGCACCTTTGGTGAATGTAGGGTGCTTTAATGGAGCAAACGCATTAAATGAGCGTGATATATTTTGACAAAGTAGGTCTCTCAGAGACGAAGGGTTAGGTGAAAACTAGTAATTGAGTGTGGATGTCTTCATTGTAATTGTCATGCAACTATGGCACTGTAACATAGCGTTGAGCTCTGCCCTCTCCTTACAGTTGTGAGTCTTTTAAGGGTAGCTAGCCAATTTATGAAAGCCCTGCTTAGGAATTGCATCAGAGAACCAAATTAGCTTGTGGAAAGGTTGCTTTCCTGCTTTTCTCTAATCCAATGCAAAGTTGATCCTGTCTTAGATGACTTAAATAAATAAAAAAAGGTGAATAGAAATTCGTAATTGTCCCCCTTTTTTATTTGTTGGCCTTTTCTATTTAATTAAACTCTACTTTATTGAATGGATATTACTCTTCTCACCCATGAGTAGGTAGATGAGTTGGTAAAAAGCTATTTCAGTTTAATTAGAGATTTTGGTTTCAAGTTTTAATGATGCAGTTTCGTTAAAACTCATTTTGCCGCCTGTTGAATCATACTTGGCTCAAATTTAAATTAATCGTGATCCAATGAACTTCTAAATATCGAGCAGTCCATAAAAAAAAAAAAAAATTACCCTTACTCACTTAGATAATTGCCTTTTATTTATTTATAGTATAACTTTCTTTTATCTAAAATAAGTACATATTTTCAACTTTTTTATAAGTTAATAATTTAGAAATAATATATATATATATTCTTTACAAAAGAGATAAAGGTAAAGAGAAAATTTTTAATAATAAGCAAATATTATAATTAAAGTTAAAGAATAATAACAAAATTAAATAAAATTATATATATCTCTCTTTTTAACAAAAAAATTAATTTAAGATAAATTTTGAATAGAAAAGAAAAATATTTTTAGACATAGAGAGTAGTATTGAAGAATGTAAGACTAAATTAGGTGACGGAAAAATTCAGGACATAAGATAAAAAAATACTATGCAAAATG